ACTGAGGCTGATCTACCATGGCAGCTGAACTGTGCAAATCAGACACCGATTTCCATAGACCTGAAGTGCTGATAGGGAAAACAGGGATTGAGGGAGAGATTCACCCTGGTGGCAGAGATAAAGTGTACCTGCAATGAGATTGCCCTGACATGGGAGCCTTGAGCCTTTTGGCTGCTCGCTTTGGATCACAGGCGATCCAAAGTCTTCTCCCTTCTTTTTTCGAATTGGAGGCAGTTTTAGAGTCTTTCCAGGATTTCCCTAGTTTGGGAACAGCCTTAGAGCTTCACTTGTGTACTGCTGATGAAGAGGGCAATAATGGAGGCGCAGGAGAAACTACCATTAACTCTGGGATCTCCAAGTTCCTGCCTCTGTCAGAGCCTCCTTTGCTACACCCTCTATTTTAGATTTCTGACAGGCAGGCTGATTCCCTCCTGTCAAATGGCTGTTTCGTGCCCTTTTCTGAAGCGAGCAGCTGACTGCTGCTCTAGAAACGCTCGCGTTAAAGCCAGGCTATTTGAGCCCCCTATTCGTTTATCCAGTGATTGTGAAACAGTCTGCACAATTAGGCTTCAGGTGCTACTGCCGATAAGGGGGGGAAGCTCTTTGATCACTGCTGCTGGAGTGAGGAAAGCCCAGTAGCTTCCGACATTGTAGATCACACCCCCGCTTTGATCTGTGACCGCCTAAAATGAAGCTGCTGCAGGGAAGCTCCTGCCTACGGAGGTGCAGCCCTTGCAGTTTGAGTGCTAGCGGGATTTTACTGTAAAACTGAAGAGCGTGAAGCTCTTCCCCACAACAACACGGTGTGCCAAAGGCTTCCCTCTCTCCCTCTGAGAGAGTGCGAAGCTCTGCAAAACAAAAGTGTGCCAATTTAGTACGAGGCTGCAACAAGAGCGCGGAGCTCTGCGAAATGGGCCCAATCAATTGTCCTTGCTAGAGTGATGCAGCCCCCTGACCAAGCCTCTCTGTGCTGGAGTTGGCAATGCCAGCAGCAATGAGGCCACCTTCTTACACAGCTCCAGCTGTCAGAATTCCAGCAACTGGAGCCTAGGCACTAGCTGCTGAGCTGGCTGTAGTCTCTATTACTGGTCTAGGAGATTACTCACAAGTCCAAGATGAAGTTGTAATAACGTTCAGAATTTGAAGAAAGTGACAAATAAAATTGTCAGAAACAAGAAATGACACGTCCGTCGTTACTAAGGGACTGAGTCGAAAGCTGGGGAGCTCTAGCAACAAGGGAGTGTCCTAAAAGCTCTGACAGACTCAGTCCAATCAGTGAGCAGATGAGGTCAATTCATGCCTGGATGCTATCTCCACTTCAATGGAGAACTGAGCTGAGAACATTACTCTCTCTTTGAGAGCTATATTGGGTATGGCTGGTATTATCACAGGAGACAGTCAAAATATGGAGATTAAGGGCAAAATTATCCTTCTGTTATTAGGCCTGGATTCTTCTCATAGTCACTCATGCCTTTAATCACCTAACGTTTGGACTATATACAGTACAGAGCTGCCCTTGAACACAGTTAGTCCTCAACTTACATTCACAAGTGGGACTGGATTTTCCATTACAAAGCAATAGTCATAAAACCAGACATCACACGGCTGCATTGCTTAACATTAGAAATCCTGGTTGTTACAGCGAATCAAGAATTGCAAGATGTTAACCAAGTACACAACCCAAACCAAGCCATTCTGGCTTGGTCCTACTCAGCCCCTAGCCTCAGCAAGGTAAGGGACTGCCTCCAACTCGCTTCACCCTATCTCCATCTCTGCCCTCTTGGTTGTTCTGCACCTTGCTTTGAGGGGCAACAGGCAGTCCCCGAAATATGCAATGGGCTATCCCATTCACCCTTATGTACTACCAAGATTCCTGCCAAGCCAATGGCAGAGCAGTGTGTTCAGACCTGAAACCAGAGCAACCGGTTTAAACACTCAACTAGCTAACACACACATACTCAAACGCTCTCCCTCCATCTCTCTCATACAATTGATAAACAAAAATGTATATAAATTATCATTAAAATTAAATCAAGGTTAAAAAATTTAAATTACAGGCAGGGGGATTCTCAAGGGAGTAGCCAACCTCAGTTGCATGGTCCTCTGCCCCCCCCCCCAATGCAAGGACACAGCCAGGTTTTTTACCTCTTTGAGGAAGACCATGAGCAGGATGTTCCACAAAGTAAGGGCAGCCGTAGGCTCTCCTAGACCCAATATACCACATCACTAAGCTTAGAAATATTCAGTCATCCCAAAAGTGCCTTCTATGTAACCTTTATAGAGTTGTGGGTAATCTTTGATTTCATTTCATGAGAATGACTCAGGAAGAAATTACCTACTAAATGACTAAAACAATAGACTTCCTTCTTCTTAGATTAATAATGCTATTTGGCAGGTGCAAATCCAGAAACAACACCCCCAAATCCAGTTCAGTCCGCCTTGTACAGTCCATAGCTATTTAATCTTTAATACTTTAATAATTTCCACCATACTTCGATGGAAATTGCATTACCTATTAAAGCAACAACTGGTTGATATAGAAGGCTCCTATACGTAAGCTAAACTTGCTTCTTTTCAGACCAGGAGGTGGAATCTGTCTCACATGTGTTACTAAAATGTTCATTATACACCAACTGACAATTAAGTTTAATACTTCCAATTGTTTATAGCTCCTGTTGCAATTGCAATCAAGAGTTCATTGCCTTCTCCTAGATGAGTACTCTTCAGAAGCCTCTATGATGTTTGCAAAATTCTGATCAATAGCTATAACTAGTAGAATCTATGAGTTCGTTCTTTATGTTATTGTTAGTGTTCATTGCTTTAGAACTTTCATGCTATTTTAAAACTTCATTTTTATTGCTATTACACTTTATTACTGTTCTTTTTCTTGTGTTTAGTCTTAGACTATAAATAAATTTTGATTGGTAGAAAAAATCAAAAAAGTTCCCGAAAACTGCTTGGACACATAGTCTCAGAATTTGTGAATATCCTAGTCTGTTACAGGAGGAGAAAAAAGGTTTGGTATATGGAATCACTTTGTTAGAAATATCACTTTTTCCATGAGTTCAAATATGTTAGAATTTAATCCAAGTAGGAAACATCCTAAAAAGTGAACTACATTATTTACTACCTTAGTAACTTGAGCATCTAAAGCAGGATGTATAAACCATTTAGGCTGAGACCAATACTTGGTCTTCAAGCGGCATGCTAGATAACTTTATTTCAAAAAGCAGTAGCATCAACTATATAAATTTACATTAATCAGTTAAAATGATTATATACTTTACATCCTCTCTCACGCTAAAATTACAATTTGGTGCTAACCAAATTGGGGAAGTTATGTCATTGCAAACTAATTGCAAAACTCTACAAAGAAACTGTGCTTCCTGAATTTAAGGATCAAATAATTTTTGACTCAATACAAAATATATTTAACTTAGATTTAGTTAGTATCTCTAACTCAAGAACTATTTGATATATTTTAAATTATCTGGGGTTTTATCATATACATTTTCACCAGGATACTGATCTGTGACCATATTTTTCCTACAATCATTTTTAATAGAAATAGGAAGATCAGTAAATTAGCTACAACTTAATAAACAACCTGACTGGACAACTGTATTGTCAGCTGAAAATGTACTTCTTTCTGAAGATGTATATAAAATTCAACTCTGCTATAATCCCTTTCATCCAACAAATATAATTTATAAAATAGGAAAATGCATTTTGCAACAACTGGCTAAGAGAACTAACTATGACAATTGTACATATTTGAAAAAGCAGAGTTTGGAAATGATGGGTTACAAACTTCCTTAATTTTAAAATTGAAACTTTCCGTTTCAATCCTAAAAGTTGGATTTTTCAGCTTTTAATCCATTAAAATCCTTTCGCTTTAGTAAAAACGAAAGTTCAATTAAACCAATAGATTTTTTTTGAAGGCATGCACTTTCTAAAGTATTTGGAAAGCAGATGCTTGTCTTCATTATTATGAACTAATGTATCTTCTAAAATATTTGCATGGCTCACCTAAAACTGGTAGCCTTTTTCAAAATTTTATTTTACTTACATGCAGGGTTAAATAAACCAATTAACTGAAATACATGCAATAAATCAACTAAGCAACTGATGCTTTATTAACATATAAGCAGGAAGCAGACACATTAATACGGCTTCCTTCCCAAATGAAACATAGCTGTGCTCTTAACAGCTGCATCAGTAAGATAATTCTATGTGAGGTTTTCATTATGTGTATTTCCTCTTTTAATAAATATATTTCTGACATGGATCAAAGGGAAATATGTAATTTTCTTAACAAGGTAAAGAGCCCCGCAGATTGACCTTGCATTCTAATGACTCTGCTTAAATTTTCTTGGCAATAAATCAAGTCATTTGCTATTGCCTTCTTCCAGGATGTTTCTTTCATTCCCAACCCCCTTCCAAATTTCCCAGCCTAGTTTGTGGCCTTGGGATTTTCTGGAAGTTTCCCATCTCAATCTTAACAGATCTGATTCGTTGAACTGTTTTAGATCAGCTAAATACTGCAAAGTCCCTCTAGTTAATGTATATCTAGTAAAAAAAATAGTGATACTATACTTATATGAAACTAGACAGTGGAAACAGGAAATAAATCTGTTTCTCAAATATTACCATAATCATATATAGACGTTCTAAAAGAATATTCACTAAATGACTGAATGCTTACTATTACCAGATTTCAAATCCAAAAAAGTGGAGCAAAGTACACTAGGGAGGATCTCAAATCCTAAATGAAATTTACTGTTGCAAAGAAACATAAATGCATTTTTACACCTAAAGGCAGATGTTTCTGATCATGTAAGTCAAAAGAAATTAAATAACATTGCAATATTATTAATTGTATGTTCACCGTCCATAATATGGTAAGGACAACAATAACCCCCCCCCCACCCCCAATGAAATCCAAGAATCAAGACGCAGCAAAGAAAAGAACATCAACATGGAAAAAGCAAGTTTCTTACCTTTTTATCTCTGGTCCTTACTTCCCCATAAAAATCTAGAGCTTCTTGTGCTTTCTGAAACCTTCCTCGATGTAACAAATAAGCACAAATCATTACACCAGTTCGTCCCTTTCCAGCTTTACAGTGGATTGCTGCAACGTGATTGCCATCTTCACTAAGCCATCGATCAAGATCTTCACAAAAAGGTTTGATGAGCTCTAGTTGTGGTGGGTTGTGGTCTTCAAAAGGGTACTGTGCAACTAAAAACCAAAAAATTGTATTATTAAATTGAATGCTAATTTTCAAAGATATAGCAATAGCAATAGCAGTTAGACTTATATACCGCTTCCTAGGGCTTTCAGCCCTCTCTAAGCGGTTTACAGAGTCAGCATATTGCCCCCAACAACAATCCGGGTCCTCATTTTACCCACCTCGGAAGGATGGAAGGCTGAGTCAACCCTGAGCCAGTGAGATTTGAACAGCCAAACTGCAGAACTGCAGTCAGCTGAAGTAGCCTGCAGTGCTGCACTCTAACCACTGCGCCACCTCGGCTCTTTTGTAGTAATCCATGCTAAAAAATATCAGTTAAATCATTTCTTGAATTAAAAAAACCTGGATGTTTCTAGGTTGCCATGTACAGATTATTTTAATAACACTGGCTTCCATGACTCAAAATCTTCATCACTCCCCATTTCCTCCAGGAAATTCTAATGAAAAAAAAATCTAGATACTGAAAACTGTCTGCAATTCAGTCTAAATAATCTATCTGACCATTTAGGGTTTTTAAAAAAAACATAGTTTAGAGATATACCCATGGCTTTGGTTTTACATATGCACAGAAACAATAATTGCAACTAGATGTAAAATATGATTGGGTTTCATATGAAACATCTTTAAACTCATTGACTCCCTCTGTCAACTTTTGCATTTAGCACCAGCAAGGTAAATGGAAGTGTCTGTTTTTATTCTTTGTTTCAATCAACTATTTGTGAAATTAATCAGTGACCAAGATTCAAATGCAACTGAATTTAACACAATATGAAAGAAATTTTCTACTGCCTCCCAGCCAGGGAATGGGTGGGGAAGTATGAACTACATAGTATTAAAGAATCATTTATGAATCATATTAAATCAAGTTCGTGGGTGATAAAATAAATAGAACTGAAATAAGACAATTACCTTATTTCCTTAGTACAAAATTTAGTTGCAAGGTGTGAAATCAATGAGATATATTCAGACAAATCAAAAGCTATCAAGCTGGTCAGCAAAATAGTCTTCTAAGTAGCTTCAGCCTGCATATCACTGAGTATCAAAAGTTCCTTAAATCACTAAAAGTATCAGAAGATGACTGCTGAACTTTCTACAAAGCTATATCCATTCTTGCAGATTGGCAATTTGTATAGGTTAGACTCTTCTCACCATGGCAATTTATCTGCATTGCAGTATTAACAGCCCCTTAATTCCTTCTTGATAATGGTTGTGAAGGGGGTTCTATAGTTACATTTCTCACTGACTGAGGCAATCTGGGGGAAGGGGGATTGATTCCCTTGAGATCAGTTTTGAGAAGACATTTAAACAGAGGCTGTAAGCCTTCATGATAGCCAGTTCATGAAAAAAATGGACACTTTATTCAGGCACATGATTAAACACGTGAAAGGCTCAATCTGGGTAGAGAAAGGGCTGCACACACACTTATACTTGCTTTAACCTCCACCCCTTCAGCTGGAAATTTTTGAGAAGGGCAGCTCTTAAATTCTGTTGAATTAACCACTAAGCACAACATGCAAAACAATATTCTTTATGGTTGATATATGAATTGTTTTCTATCTTTAAATTGTGATTTCCAGTTCAAAAGTATACATATTTTACATGTTTTGACAAGAAGCCTATGTGCTCCTCCTTCTCAGAAATAGCCCTTTCCTGTTAAATATACATCCATTCCCAATAAGGCACAGAATTAAGGACCATCTTTTAGTCTTCAAGTTACTCCCCTCATCATTATTTTACATGTTGCTCTCTGTAACATCAGTTTGTCATATATTTTATTAAGTCAGTGGGCACAATTCTTAGGAGGGAGGCCCCTAAAATGTTTATTTTCAATATGCCACAGGGACTAAATATCTGAGAGTCACAAAACCTTCTGCAGGCTATAAATATAGTGTTTCCCCTTTTTAAAAATTAGAATAATCCCAAAATAATAAAATCTTACAGGCTATGGAGCCCAACAAGTAGCATATTGATGGGTTTTTTTCACCATAAGATGGATATTTTACTACATCAAATAGAAGTACATGATCAAACAGCTACTAAAGCTGATGCATTAACAAAATAAATTCCTTGCTTATTATAGTATGCTGAGGTACACAACTCGTAATCCATGCATTAACTCCTGTGACCTTAGAGTATTCCCAGACTACATATTGAAGTTATTTACTTATTTTATCTGCTTTAAACTATGAGTGATGAAATCTGACCCAGTGTCAGGATTTTTGGGGGTGGGGGTAAGGATTTCTCCTTCAAAAACAAACTTCTTAGAGATCTAAGATACCTGCCTTCTCTCCAATGAGATGAATTTTACTACTGTTTCGAAGAAATCGCTTCAATTCCTCTATTACCAAAAAGCTGATAGGGTACACTCTGGCGATCTCATCACTTCCTTAGCTGAACTTCTTGTTTCCCTCAGAGATCAAATTAAAATAAAGTGCAAATTCTGACTATAAAGAAAATATTAGTCCTAATTTACTAAATCTTATAAAGAGCCACAAATCTATATCTCATATAACATTAATCTCTCTCAAAACATTAATTCTCAAAATATGGACAAATATACAGCTACTCATACAGTTAAGCTGCGTAAGTGTGTAATAACCTTTTAAGAATAAACAATTTCTGAGGAGTTGGGAAAAAAACAACTCAGCATCCCAAACTTCTGAAGGGCTGTTGAAAGAGCTAATTCTCAGTCTTTTAAATTATTTGCTTTGGAAGTGTTTAAGAGTTGGGGATAGGGATACAAGGGACTAAAAATGAAATTCCTGAGATTGAACTCTTGCATGAAGTTCTAGGAGACATCTGGTGTGCTTGGAGGCCAATTAGGTCATGAAATTTTGTGAAGAGATCACCCTTCCGGAATTAACCCCTCAAATAATAAAGGGGATGAAACGAAAAGGAAACTAAAACACAAAACCCTTCAGAAATGGAATTATTATTGAAGGGTGTGCTTACTCTCTTGCTGCTTAGCTTATGAGAAATACAAAACAAACATACCTCTGCAGTTAAATTTGGTGGCGTCATAATGTCTTTCAGCACATCTGAAAAGAAAAAAGTTAAAATTGCATGAAGCATTATTTTATCATTTAGTAGGGGGAGAAACCTATTGTATTCAGTACACATTTCTTTCTACAATCTAACACTACAATAATAAAAAAAAGGGTGAAGCACTACTGTTTGGGTGTTCTCCATGCCATATAGATAAATGGAGGTACAAAGAGTCCCCACCAACGGCTCCTTCACCAAACCCTTCAAAATTGCAACAGGGTTGAAAAAACTGATTTATGATCACTCCTCAAATTTGCAGCAATTGAAGTGTCCTTGCAGTCAAGTGGCTCAATTCAGGCGCTTGGCAACTGATCCACGTTTACAAGGATTGCAGCATCCCACAGCCACATAATCACCATCTCCAGCCCTCACGGTCAGCTTCTGACAAGCAGTCATTGGGGCAGCTGACAGGAAGCCATTAAGTCGCAATCACCTGATGTTGCACTGAGAACTGTAGGATAGTCGTTTAATCCCAATTACAGCTAGTCCTCGATTTACGACTCCAATGGAGCCCAGAATATATGTTGCTGAGTGAGAAATTTGTTAAGTGAGTTTTGCTCCGTTTTACGACTTTGCTTTGTTAAGCGAATCGCTGCAGTTGCTCAAATACGGACACAGTTGTTAGGTGAACCTAGCTTCCACATTGGCTTTGCTTGTCAGAAGGTCGCAAAAGGGGATCACAAATGTCATAAAATATGAACCAGTTGTCAAGCATCTGAATGTAAATGATGTGACCATGGAGACGCTGCAATGGTGGTAAGTGTGGAAAATGGTCATTTGTCACTTTTTTCAGTGCTGTTGTAACTTTGAACGGTCACTAAATGAAGTGTTGTAAGTCAAGGACTACTGGGAAATGCAGCTGGAAGTGACACCATTAAGTAAGATGTAGTTGCTTGAAATTTCACATAACGACATTAATTAGCAAAGGTTTTGTTAGTCTCAATTACAGTTGGTAAAAGAGGAATACCGGTACATTTGAAAATATAACAGATATGTACAGAACCATTTTCTTATTTGTGGAATTAATGTGACAATCATTATAGACCTAACTCCTAATAAATTTCTACCCAAAATAATAAAATTACAGTGCACATAAATCTGAAAATAGAAAAAAAATGTGATTGCAGGAAAGAAGATTAACTCAAATAAAGTGTGCATTCATATCACTGTTCAGCTGTGATGTTCCTAGGCAAATTTGGGACTCTGATTAATAGTGGATGGTCAACCCAGCCTGGATACTACCTCCACCACTATGGAGAAGCAACTCCTAACTAAATAATACTGAATTGAGTAGGGAAGTAAGTAATATAATAATGACCCTTATTCCTATTAAACCTCAAACCTGGAATATATTGAATCTTTTTAAAATCAATATTTTAATATTTTATTTTAAGAAAATCAATATTAAAAGGCTTATACCTGCTTTTCCTAATAAGGATCATTAGCAATTCAACTCAAAATTCTCAATTACTTTACAGAAAAAAGCATCATCTCAACTTATGAGTTATTAATGTTCCGGTTCTCTTTTTACTCATTATGAAGTCATTCACTTGCTAAAACTAAAACAAGTTAAATGACATATCATTGTTTCGTAGGTTTCCTGTTAAAGAGGTTCCACCACAAAACCGCGGACGACAAAATCGCGGCCGACGAAAGCGCGTATGTGACGTCATCACAACGCGACGAAAAAGATCGAAAAATTGAAATAAAAATTAAATTACAGCAAGCCGATTCACATAAAGGTAAGCCTTAGGTTAAGGGTTAGGGTTAGGGTTAGGGTTAGGGTTAGGGTTAGGGTTAGGG